ATCCAGCCGGGCTCTGCGGTGAGCCGCTGACCCACCAGGCTCTATGACCTCTGACCACTGGGCATCCGCGGAGCTGCTGACCGGCCGGACCTTCCGCTGGTCTCACGCTCATCCGCTGACCGACTCTTCTGGCTGACCCTGCGCTGAGGCGCTGACCGACCGGGTTCTCCGCTGACCCTGCGCTGAGCCGCTGACCCTGCGCTGAGCCGCTGACCCGGCCGCCCCGCGCCGTTATCCGGTCGGCCGCCGCCGCCGCCGCCCTTTGTGCCGCGAGTTGGCGGCCGCCGGTGCTGCCGCCGCAGTGTGGTGGTGCGCTCAGCTGACAAACGACCGCCCGAACCGCCGCGCGGCGGCCCAGCGGCGGCCGTTGGCCCGCGCCAGCCGAGCGCACCGGCGCGGCAGCTGAGCGCTCCGCGGCGGCCGGCGACAGCTGAATCTGTTGACATCGTGCCGCGTGGAGACTGGTGTGTGGTGGCTGTGCCGGTGCGGGCAGCGAGAGTGTGACGGCTGTGTGCGTGATCAGCTGAGAGAGATTCGCAGTGGACTGTCAACTTTGGACGAAGTGACTGCGTGCGGCAGTCGGTACCCTGTCGCGTGGTGTGAGCAGTACGGCGTGGGTCTGCCGCGGTAAAAAGGCGGCTCCGGCCGGCGGGCGGGGGCGGCCGGCTGCCGCCGCGCGGCCCGGCACCAGTGGCCGGCTGACCGTGGTACGCGAGGGGTGAGCCGCGCGGGCAGAGTAGAGGAGTTGTGCGGTGTGCGTGGAGAGAGGACGAGAGGCGTGGTGTTGCCGAGTGGATAACGCCGTGTGACGCTGGAGCGCGGATAACGCAGATTTGGATTGACCCGAGGTGAGTCCTGCCGTTGGCTCCTGCCCGTAGTTGGGATGAGGGATGAGATTGAGGCCGAACATCATTATCATTTATCAGGCTGGAGCATACGCCATCTCACGCCTTAATTTATGTCCGTATACTAATACGTTTCATGTTGGTTTGATAAACACTATTTTCAATGTTAACGATATTAGTAGGTCAATGTGCAAGGGCATTGCTCTACATGAACACTGGACCTTGGAAGGATGTGGTATTCGCCCCAGTCTGAACTTGCATCTGGCTGTGGCTGTGATTCTCCTCTCTGTCTCTGTGTCTCTGTTGGCCGCTGTCTCTGTCTCTGCCGAACCCCGGCGTTTCTCTGTGAGCCCGTCTGTGTGTTTTGTGAGTCAGCTCCGCGGAGTGCTGACTAGCCACCGGGCTGTGGCAGGCAGCCGGATGTTCCTGGAGGGACGATACGAGCCGCGACCGGCCGCTATCTATTGGTAACAGGCGGGCGGATGGTGACCAGGGTCGTCCGCCCCTACCCTGGCCCGCAGCCCCGCCGTGCCGGTCGGGCGCTACTCTGTGATGAGAAACGGTTAGTGATTGTCTGCACTGGGACGTCGATGCGGGCTGATCTCTGCACTAGGCCGTACTGTTTGTGTTCGGCTCGCACCGACCATGCGCTGGACGGCGCTGGGCTACTGCGCAGCGAGCTGTCCCGATCTGGAGCGGAAGCGCATTGCGTGCCGCCGCCCGCCGAGCTCTCCGCCGCGGCCGGCACCGCTGGCAGAGAGAAATCGGCCGTCTCCGTCGCCTCTCTCCGCAGCGTGAGGGACGGACCGGCGGCCGTCAGACTGCCGATGGGTGGCGGCTGCTGCCCGCTGCACGGCAGATCGACGCCCGAGTGGTCAGAAACCGACCGGCCGGCGGTCGCGGAACCGGCCGCCGCCGCCCACACTGACACGCGTCCCATACTGGGCCGCGGCCGGCCGGCTGCCGCGGAGGGCGGTGTCAGACGAACCAGCCGGTGTATAGTGTCGATGTTTTGTCCGCTGACTACTACCAGTGATTGCTGTCGTCCCAACCCAGCCCGATCTGTGTAGGCATGTGCCATGCCCGGGCCCAGAGACGGCGTTGAACCCGTGGTGGGCTCGCCTTCTCGCCGCCGCCCATTGTTGGTCTGTGGTGAACCATGACGGCGCTTGATTGCTGGCGGTGCGTCGACCTGGCCGGGTCAGAGGTCACAGGTCAGAGGTGCCCCGCGCCGCGCCGCCGTCGGTCGACCGGGTCACCGCGCCGACCGACTGAATCCCATCGGCAGTCAGAGGTCACCAAACCGGTGGCGCTCAAACCGGCCCAGTTCGCGGCGCTGGACGGTGCCGGCTGGGGCTGTCGTGCGGGCTCGGGACGGATACAATTACAGTTATCTACACACAGGATACAGATGTGTAGCCGCAACAGGTGGCATTCGTCATCGCTTGTGCTGCTGCTGTCGTGGCGACACATGGTTTTCGGCGTTTGTAGCGGCAGAGCCGTTAGCCGGGAAGGAATTAAATCGTGATGGTAACCTGTGAGTTGTGTTGATTAGGACATGTTTTGCTCGCTGTTTATACAATTTCATGGCTGAAAATGAAAATTACGTAATCCAGCTTAGTCTGTAGCTACTTCATTTTACCGCCTTGAAGGCTACCAGGAGTTCTAAACGGTGCGCCAAAATTTACCAGAAAGTCAGGAGTGGTAACTGGTTTTTGGTATTACAAGACCGTTTACAATGTTTATCAATGTTCATCTAGCATTACCTCACTTCCGCAATAATTCCGCTCCAAGTGTCGTCGTGAGTCATGAAAAGGAGACGTGACTCATGCATTGCTTTTGTCTTCTGCTGCAAAGCTCCAACGGTTTATGCTGAGCCGTGGTGTACAGAAATCAAAGGCCTTGCAGGGCCAGATGCAAATGAAATGGATGGCATCCGTGCTGGATCTCTCTCTCTCTCTCTCTCTCTCTCTCTCTCTCTCTCTCTCTCTCTCTCTCTCTGCTCTGCTCTGCTCTGCTCCTGCTGCTCCTGCTGCTCCTGCTGCTCCTGCTGCTCCTGCTGCTCCTGCTGCTCCTGCTGCTCCTGCTGCTCCTGCTGCTCCTGCTGCTCCTGCTGCTCCTGCTGCTCCTGCTGCTCCTGCTGCTCCTGCTGCTCCTGCTCCTGCTCCTGCTCCTGCTCCTGCTCCTGCTCTGCTCTGCTCTGCTCTGCTCTGCTCTGCTCTGCTCATCTGTTTTGCTCTGCCCTGCACTGTTCTATAATGCTCTGCAACTCTTCTCTGCTTGCTCTGCTCTTTTTTGCTCTGCTCTGCTCTATTCTGTTTTGCTCTCTCTCTTACCAGCCCGAAAGTCATGAAGTCCTGTATACGCTGCCCGTTCCATCGCCGTGTTGACGGTCACTACTGACCCATACCGCACGCTGCCCTCCCCCGGCCGACCGGACGAGTGTCACAGACCGACAACAGTACGCGGAGGGGTGTGGTCAGCCGTGCAGCCGGGCTGCACACCCGGGTGGGGATGCGACGAGGGACGCTTGGTCAGAGGTGTGATACGAGTGTTCGCTATGAACCCTGCTGGGCGATGTGTCTTGGTGTTCTTATTTGGGAGCGAAACTTGCAGCCGGAAGGAACAAGAACGATTCACTGTGTGGCTGTTATAAATCGCCGCGATTCTTTCCACGGAGATCAGATACCACATTTTATTTCGGTGGGATGTGAGAATTGGTTGAGGAAAGCTGTTTAATATTCAGACTGCGGTCGTGTGTTCTGCTCCGGGGTGACGGCAATGCCACCTGCCGGCCAGGTACCGAGTTCATAGTCGGGAAGTAAGTCCAGCGGTGGCGGACCGACCGCCGACAGAACCGTCGCTCGGTGGTGGCTGGGGAGCGACAACAGTGATAATCGCCTGTTCGTGTCATTGCAGCTCGCTCACAGATTAAAATTTGCAACTACGGCTTCTCACTATCTGGGATGAGGCCATAGTCAGCCATAGCCATAGCCAATAGCCATAGCATAGGATATAGGCCCAGATAGCTTTGTATGGAGTCTTGACTTGACTCGCCCTTCATCCATGGACTGCAATAGCTTTGGACGAAACACTGTTCTCTCTTTACAGGTCGACTTTTTAGGTTCCTGATCCCCTTTTCCCCAGGTTAACATCCCCCCGGAAAGATCAGAGCCTAGTCACCGACCTCTGCCCGGCACGTGCGGCGGCTGAGTCTCGCGTTCTCCGCCGCCGGCTGGGGCAACCGCTGCGCTGCTACCTCCGCCGCCGCTGTGGCCCAGATGTTACAGGCTACAGCCCGCAGCCGATCTCCGGGTCGGCAGAGGCGGCGGGAGGCCACCAGTTCAGCCGATAGGGTCTTAGTGCGGCGCTGCAGTCAGAAGGCAGTGCTGCAGCATTGCTCCAGGCCAGTGATGATTCCACCACTGCAACTTAGACTGCTGCTGTATGTGATAGCAATACGGTGGAGTTTTTGAGACAATTGGTGGCATGAACTGCAATTGTAGGTACCCTATTTCATCTGCCCCGTCGTGTACGAGCCGGCCTATCTTCGGCAATCGCACCCACCGGACGTGACAAACTACCACCCACGCGCTATCACGGTGTGTGGCGGTGCCCCGTGTCGGTCCCCGCGTCACTTCCCAGTCTGTCGTGACACGCCACGCCGTAACCGTCACGATTCTCTGACGCCGGCGACAGAGGTGACCCAGGAAAGTCGAGCACCCGACCGGACCGGCGGTACTGAGCTCCGCCTGCCTGTCCCGGCTGTCTCAGACCCGCTTCAGTGCCGCTCGGACGGCGCTACGACGTGCTGCAGCGCCGAGCTCCGTGCCGTGCTCGTGTTCCGTGCTCGGCGCTGTGTTCCTACTCAGCTCGTGGGCTCCGGTGCGCTCACGTGCGCGCATTGCTTGCCCGGCACGTGCGCGTCGCGCCGCTCCACAGGAGGCCGAGCGTGTTTGTTGGCGGCCCCGCTGCCAAATCTCCGTCATTGGCGGCGGCCGTGCCGAAATATCGCGCACCACGCTCCGCTGCCGGCAGCGGCGGCGACAGCTGGGGCACCTGCCCGGCGCCTGCGCGGCTGACGCCTCTGTCCGACCGCCGAGCGGGCCGGGTTGCAGGCGGGGCGGTCAGAGCGGCGGCCGGCGGTTCCCGGAGCGCACCGAGATCGGATCTGCTCCGAGACGGTCACGGCGCGGCTGGTGACAGCCGGTGACCCTGAGAGGCGTGTGACCGACCGACAGCGACAGCGCTCTCCGCCGGCGGAGCGGCCGAGCGGGCTAGTCGGCGACCGAGCGCCGCCGCCGCCCCAGCCGCGGGGCTTCCGCGGTCGGCGGCCGCCGCGCATACCCGGCCGCCATTAGCGAGTGCGTGCCGCCGGAGCTGAGAGCCCGGAGCAGTCGGCCGACGGGCGCCGCCCGCTCGGAGAGGAGGTGATCGCCAGCCGGCGCGGTGTGGGCGCAGGTGTCGGACGGAGCGTGACAGTGGTGGGCCGGCGCTCAGACAGCTCCGCCGGAGCCGGAGCCGGAGCCGGAGCCGGAGCCGGAGCCGCAGCTCCAGTGCTGCCAGGGGAGCGGAGGTGAACGGAGCCAGTCGCCATGGGAGCTGAGCAGAGCGCGGCCGCCGGCCACCAGCAGGCTGCAGCGTCAGCGGCCGCCGCCACTCAGGTGTCTCAACAGACGGCTGTGAAGGAAACACCGCCGGCGAAGGTAGGAGCGGCTGTGGGACAGATACAGACCGATGTATCTGCGTACCATGGTTCCCGTCCATCGGATGGGACATTCGCTGCTTGGCTTGCATTATGGCTATTGCATCAGTTTTCAATCTAAATTATTGTTTACGTTCCGCCCTTGCCACTTGTTTCAGCAGATTTCGTTTTTTTTTTACACTGTGTTAATAATTCTGTCACATTTTGTATCAGACGGCTCAAAAATGTACGCCCTCCCCCCGACATCGTTTTTATGCTACTGTTAGGTCACCTCGGAGTGAGTCATCTCCGAGGTTAATAGTGGCTTGCATTATTATCTACCTGGAATCAGAAGAACGTTTTCTTTTGCCAATGGTTTCACGTGGCATTCACCAATAAGTCTTACGGCTCCATCTTGGTCAAGGTGACGAGGTCTGTAAACGATGAACGTCGTCGAGCATTAGGCTCAAACGATCACCGAATGGGACCGCTAGGATGCTCCTTTTCACGTTCCCGTTGGGAATGATTGAGGCAAGATGGTACAGCTAAAACTTCCACTTTGGTCTCATCCCTCTACTTTGAACCGTTGTTTGTGAAGGCCATTTTATCTCCTCCTCTGTTCCGTCTTTGCACCATGCACCGCTCAATCTCACCCCGGTGCTACGGCCCGACCCGCGTCTGGCTACCGTGACCTCACGATCCCGCCTGGCACTGGGCCCGCCGACCCCGATCCCCTGCGCTGTTGGCCAGGCACCACCCGCCGTCCGGCTCGCAGGGAGGCCGCCGGTGAGCGAACACAATCACCTCTGCGGCAGGCCACCGGGCACGGAGCTGTACTTTGCAGGGTAGCCGACACAGCTTGAAGGGGTGCAGGGCTCCACGTCAGGGTGAATCACGTGACCTGCAGACTAGCAGGGGACACAAGTGTGCGCCCGAGGGCCGGGAGGAATGGTTGCAAAATGTGTGACCTGACGTGTGGAGTTGACATACGGCCGATATTTTCCCGTGTTATGACGGCAGAACAGCTGTGTGTCGACACGGCGATCAGGGCGGGCTGTGCTCGGTGGCATTGCTCCACTTCGCTGCGAGTGAATGTAATGCACTGCAGGCGTGAACGGTGAAGCAGCCTTGTGTGGAATTTGCTAATACTGCGCAATCCTTCACTTATAATATATGAGTCAGTTTTCCGTAAATAGCATCAAACGGGTGCCAATGACCTCTGCATCTCGGGCGCTCTGACACCCAAATCATCATCATTACCAAATTACAGCGCCACATCTCATTTGACCTTCATCGTCAATCGCCGGCGACACGCCCGTCTGTCGTCCTTTTACCATCTCCCCACACCGGCTGTCATTCTGATCCCGTCTGTGATTGCCGTGTCGCGTGACGGCTGGTGCTCCGGAGAGGGCGGACCGGCCGGGCACGGCACGGGTTTTGTCCAGGGCGGGGCTCGCGTCAGGTCGCTACTGGCCCTGTTACTCCTCCCAGTCTGTCGCTCGTTCCATGAATGGTTTCATGGTCCACCAGGCACTGACCACCAGCCCGTTTTTACGGTTTGCTGGTCTGTGGCTGACCCCAGCAGCGTCACGGTCATAGGCGGGTCTTTCTCTCAGGCCAGGTCTATCTCGTGGGCCCTCCATCCCCTCCCCTGCAGGACGGTGTTTTTGGTGGCCCACTGCCAAAGGTCGCCGCTGGCGTTGTCCTGACTTCTTCCAGGGCTGTGCCAACTGGTGGACGTCAGGGTCGCTCGGGGGCACCGGCCCCCGCGGCTGGCGGCCGGGCCAACAGCTCGGACCGCGGCCAACCACGTGACTGACTGCAGAGAGGGGAGGGGTGGGAGCTGCTCTGCCGTCAGGGTCGGAGGTCGCTTGGCTGGCTGTCAGTGATCAGGGAATGGTCAAACAAAGTGTGGTTTTGCGAAAAATATTGTGGCGTGCGCTGTCTCAAGAATGGTTCAAAGTTCGTAATGTCTGATGCATAGATGCGGATTGTGGTATCTGCTGTTTACTTGGACGCTTCTAAGGCCGAAGACTAAAAGGAAGAACATTTGTTCCTTGTTGCCTAGCTAGTTATTATTAATGTTGCAAGGTCCTTCACAGGAAAATGATAAACATCGGGACTAGTTTTGTCGTTATCGTCATCACGAGACCGCAGTTTCTACCTGGTTTTCGCTGCCCGATCGCTCAGCCCATGCTCTTTTACCGTGACTTTGAAATCATCCTGCAGTGAAAACACGACACTGAAAGTAGATAGATTTCCTTATCGGCTTACTTATCATCACATTTGTTTATGTACGTCTGGTAGTTTCCCTCAGTCATTCATTCCTCTTGAATCGTTTTTATGGAGTATTTTCTGCTGCCTTTCTTTCTAAAGATCATTGACCTTGATAAGTGTCTGTTCCCTATCCAGCCGTCTGAGCCGCCTTTAGAAGAGCTCTGCTGTTCATCAGACGTGATGTGGGCCATCTGTGGCTCTCAGATGATCGCTGATCTTCAGATACACTGATCGTCAGATACACTGCCCTTCATCGCAGATGGATGTCCCAGGTGTGACGAATGGCGAACATTGTCTGAAGTGGTACTTCGGCACCGACAGTTGCTGCTCTCACCGCTGCTCTCACCGAATGGTCTTCTGTTGTAAAAATCCATCGTTTGAAACTTTCCATCACCTGGTTTCTATCACAGACCGTAACTGGCGTCTGAATGATGTCGGCTTTCAGCCGACAGAGATGGCGCTCACTATCTGTCAGAACCATTCGCTGATCTGACTGCGTTTGTCGACGGCCGTCAGAACTTACAGTGCTGCTGGCACAGGTGTCTTCGCGTCAAGCATCGCTTTTTTGCAGCGTTTTGACCTGCAAGTCGGTGGTATGGTGTCTGAGAAACAAGAAGTCCAGAAGCCATACAAGGGCGGTCCGTTGCGTGAAGACGCAGGGGTGGTAGAGGTCCCTGGCCGGCAACCTAGCGTGTGTGGCATTTGAAGGGCTTCTGTGTGGCGAGTTCGGCCGAGTTTCCTTCAAAGGTGGGTGGGTCAGGTCAGTGGCTGACCTGCCTGTCCTGCTGTTCTCCCAACAAGTGGACTGAGGTGTATGGTCCGCCATGCACTGACAACTGACAAGTCACCGAAGTACGACTCGACCTGTCACATGACTGCATGCATGTCTAGAGAAGATCCTCTCCGGCACGCCACACTGCCACAGGTCCTCCCGATCTGCCAAAGTTCCTCCCCGGTCCCCAACAGTGTGACAGGTCCATTCCGATCCGCCACAGTGTGACAGACCGCAGCGGACCGAGCCCGGCCGGCGCTCTCTGGCAGGACGCCCGGTGTCTGCGTGTCGGTCTGCTCGGCCGCCGCCTCGGGCTAGGCCGGTAGTTGGCGGTGTGGTGTCCGAGTGATCAGTGCCGTCCCCTCCTGTGGACTTCCCGCGTGGCCTTCCGGTGCTGTATGGCCACCAGCTGTGGGGCGTTATCGAGACTGTCCACTGTCCGGTGACCGGCCGTGTCCCGTTCGTTCCATATAGAGACTGTACGGTTCCCTTCTGCTGTTCCATTTTCCTGTCTGAGGAATTTATAGCATCCGTGTGACAACACCAAAACGGAACCCTTTCTTTGACCCCCAACCCAGTGCCTTTTCTGCACTACCTCCAGCCTTTTCCTACCTCACCGTGTTTCCCTCTCCTTACGTAAACCCTCTCCCTTGTGTCGATAGGCGTTATCACAAGTGTATTCGCGGCCATTGGGGCGACGTAAGAAAAGAAGAAAACAACTGGCCCCAAGAACTTTAAATTATCAAATAGCATGCACCTTTTCCTTGATATGTAGAGAATTTACCATTAATTGTTAGAGAAAATTGCATTTAAAATCTTCCATTTATGCTTTTTTCATCGTTTGCACAGTATGTTCTTTTACTAAGCTAGAAACACTAATTAGAAATAGTTCCCGCATCATCAAGAACAATAGGGAAGGCTTGAAGTGAATACAATAACCTAAACGGTTTTGTAATCCATGTGAAGACACTTCTAAAATTGCCTGTAGAAATATTAAAGGCAAAAGTTCAACTTTTTCACAAGACGGATGGCTATAAACCTATTCAACGTGTGACAACTCAGCCGGTATATCGTCGCCTACAGCCCAGCTTTCCCTAGTGACCGATAGAGGCGCTGCTATCGATGTCCGCCCGTGCCGCCTAACGGTTGTGTCCTGCGGAAGGCGGCTGTCGCCGGTCCCCGGTTTATTTTGGCCCGACGGCGGCCGGCGGCGGGGGCAGACCGGTCCGCTGGCCGGTGCTTTGTGCCGCACGATGGGTCGACGCCGGCGCCGGCCCGCCCGCCACTCGGTGAGTTGGGTCCGCCTGGGACAGACGGGGCGTGGAGAGTGTGAAGTGGATGTCAGTGGATAGTGCTGGATGTCAGTGGATAGCGGTGGATGTCAGAGTGTGGCAGAGAGTGGATTAGGAGGTCAAAAGATGCCGGAATCGGTGAGTGACCGCAGTGTCGTGGAAGGTGGTATTGGCGACTGCTGTGGCAGTGGACAGCAGCGCTTATATACTGTGTTCATGGACGTATTGACAGCCGATGCGTTTAGATCTAATGAGCTCGTTTATGAGTGAAGCTAAATGGGACCCGTGATCTCATGAATCTCGTCCTCCCATCCTGCCCTCGTCTCGGCGCATGTGTCCGCGGCGTGCTCGGACACGTGCTGTCCGGACTTGTTGTCCGCCGACGTGTGACCGTGTTGTCGCCGCGTGTCGGGCAGCTGCCATCCCATATGGTGTCGCCTCTCCCCTCGCGCCTGGCGCGCTGCCGTCATTCCGCTATCTCCCGAGGGACCACCGGCTGTCGTCAGCGGGCGATGGGCGTCTCTCTGTGCTGTGTCGGTGGCAATGACATCCCGCGCCGCCCCGAGGCATGTTTTGTGTCGTGTCATCGCTCTATGACACGGCTGCATGCCGGGATGCTGTGACGCTATTGTGACGTGATGAGACACCATTGTGGTAAATCTGCGTGTCTGTGACGCGTTGTGACGCTGCCGCTGTAATGAGGCGGCGCGGCTGGGCGGCTCATCGTCACAGGTGCAGCAAGCCCGCCAGCTCTCCCGATCTTTTTATCTTTCCCTGATGTAGCGTCTGACCTGCATCTTGCCTCACTGCCGGGCCGGCCGGTCTCGATGGCGCCTCCCCTCACCTCACCTCACCTCCCCGGCCGGGCTGAGCAGCACTGACCGGCTGGTCGGCCGGTGACCCGCGCTCGCTCCGCCCCGGCCTCAGCGCCCCTCCCTGCCGGCCGCCCTCCTCTCGCCGCCCTCTCCCCGGCCCTCCTCTCCCTGCTCTGTTTTTGCTGTGGCTCTGTGCTGTTGTTCGGCAGTGCTTTCTCCCCTGCCGTGCGGCCCGGCCGGTCAGCCCGCTGCTCTGTCGGGCTCTTCCTGAGAGCAGCAGCTTGCTGGGATAGTTCGATGAACTGCTCCGCCTCTACTCTCCACTCTTCCGCCTCTTGGGTAGCTTTCCTCAGCCGTAGATATATGATAGTATGGAGACCTTATGTAACTTGCATATGGCTGCAGCGGCTCAACTGAACGAAAGCATAACCAAGGAGACTACGCGTTGAGCCACAGTTGGGCTTGATAAACTCCTCCCCTCAGCACAGTCAGGGAACAGAGACGCAGCTGGCAGCTTGCCAGACAGACCACGCGTGGAGCCGCTACGCGTCGGCGACCCTGACCTTCCTACAAACAGTGGCGAGCCGGCATTACTGTCACGTCGGACCCCGGGTGCCGCCCTGAATGCTGTGGTGTTTGTATCGGTATCCGTCGCTTTTATCGAAAGCTATGATGTTTACAGAGTTCTCCTTGATACATGATACCATGACAGGTATCTGATGTTGATATGCTCAGCGATCGTAGCCTTCCGGTGGTGTGGGCAGGACAAGGCCAACCCCCATCGGACAGAGGGGTTTTAGCGGTGGTCGGACTTTGCGGTAGCCACGTCATCACGATAGTGGCGGGGGACTGATACCGGGCGTTGTCCGTCGAACCGCGGCCCACAGCTAGTCTCGGGTCGTGAGTCTACGCCAAGGCTGGCGCGAAGGCCGTGCCGTGACTGTGTCACAGGCTGTGACAGCGAACTGTGATGACAGTGTGACAGTGCTTGTGGTTTGTGGTCGGCTGTGATTTTGTGGTAAGTGGTGGTCTCTCGCTGCGGTTGCTGTCAGCTGGTGACGCGGTTGGCTATGCTCAGCCGCTGCTCATGTTCACCTCTAATTTGACTCGCCTGCGAGTCACACCCATATCAGGCTCGTCATCTATTCCTGCCTATAGTGTCTCGCATCTTCTCACATGAGTCACATGATTCCCGCACTTGTATGGTTTTTGGCGCACTGTTTTCGCCGCCCGTTAGACCGACTGGTTGAATCAGTCCCAGTTGACGTTTTGGCGTTGAAACCCGTTCTGCTCGGGTGTCACTGACGACAGCCGGTCAGGGAGACTGCCCGGAGGTGCAGGGGGGGGGGGGGACTCGGTCCCAAGGGGCGTGGTCTGGTCTCCAGTAGGCGGAGTTCATTGATAGAATTTGATTCACGGAGAGGAGGGTTTCATATTTCAATGCCTTGCAGGTTCTAGAACTTTGTTTTTGCACTGGTCTCACGTTTCTGTTTATAGGTATAATTTTGGGTATGGTAAGATCGGTTTAATTGAAATTGAACCATTTCTTTGATTCATCCTCTCATGAGCCAAGGTTTATGATAGAACGTCTGAAGTCTGAACCGTCGATAGACGATCGTCTTCAGTCGGCTATAGCGAAACTGGCATCGCAGTTACTAACTATTATCATATGCGAACTCGAACTGTTATCAGTTCTTAAAGTGGCCACCCAGTAGACGCATTTAGGAATAGAAGTCCCCATACTAAAGTGGATTTACATGGTGTGATGACGTTAAGGATGACTGATGTGTGAATTGCGGCATAGTTTGCGGTGCCTGGCTTTAGGTTGTGGGACGTTTGTCATATTAGCTTGTGAAATATGTGTCAAGAGCGGGTTTAGTATGTCACTTTCCCGACTCCCGAGTCAATGACTATGGTGCGGCTGTCATAAAGCTCTTCTCGTCACCCTTGCCGACTATCGCTGTCCTACCGTGGCGGTCACCGCTCGCCAGTGCCAGCCCACCGACCGGCCGACAGGAGCTGAGCGATGGCCAATCGGTGCCTGTCACGGACCGACGCCCGCGACCGCTCAGCGGACCGGCAGTCCCTCTCCCGTCCTCTGCTGGGCTGGTAATAGCTCACTCTCGAGTCCCAACTCGACCACGAGCTCCAACCTCCAACCCTAAACTCCAAGCCTCGAAGCCCATGCGTCGAGATCTGACCATCCGGGAGAGATGACATTGACTGGCCGAGTTTGAATGGCGACGCTTCGGTCGCTGACCCTTGCTCTGGCTCCGACTCGTCCCTGCAGAACCGGCGCGGTTCCGCCGGCTCGGCCGCTACCGTTGCCCAGTTGGGCTATCGAGGCGGTGATCGCGCTCTAGTCAGGCCGGTGAGGGTCGGGTACCCCTTGCAGGGAGACTGTGGCTGGGCGCTGAATATGGCTCTACTCTGCACTATCTGTCCAGTTAGGTTGGTGACGGCGGGGTCGGTACCCCCTGTAAATTAGTAATATTGGTGACGTGTTCGACTTCGTGTTTTAGGGTAATTTTGTCGCTTGCTCAGAAAAGTGCCTATGCTATATGTAGAATGTAGATCGATAGAATCTAAGTTATAAGATATTGAAAATTTGCTGGATTCTAAAGCCTATTCCACAAATTCAGAGGACCAAAATTCACCGCAGTCCATCCAAATCATGACCAGCTCACCGTTATCGGCCTCACGGCTCGCCATTCCCCGCAGTTCGTGTTGTATCATCTCTCCTCTCCACCTCATCCTCATGCGATACAGCACGCCGCGCCGCTCGTTACCGCGGGTTTCACCCATGACCTGTGACCGTGTCGACCTCCGCCCCGACCCTACCCTTCCCTGAGTACCCATCCCACTGGGTGGTCCGATCAGTGCACCCGATACCGCTCCTTCCCCGCGCGGCGCCGGGTTGGATGGTATCAGATGACTGTGCGTCTGTTTGTCTGTGGTGTTTGTATGCGAGTGTCCCGGTGTGGGACCGCCTGTGAAGGCACACGCTGCGACAAACGCGTGGGTGGGTTGAACAGAAGGATCAGTGATCTGATCTGCGCGCCGGCAGAGATGCCATTCACACGAGAGGAGAAAGTCGTGTTGTGTTGCGCCAGCTGCTGGGTGTTTTGTGAGCGCGGCGATTATCACAGTTCGCTGTTGATGAATTTACAGTTGTGCTGACCTCGTTCATGCACTTAGGCTGTTGATTCTCTACAGATAGCCCGCCATTAGCTCCAACTTTCATGACGCCACCAAGGTCCTAAAACAAAGGCGCCACCTTACCTCTCAACAATCATAACAAATAGCTGCAATTTTCACATCAGAACGACATCGCATCGTAACGACGTATCATTTGTTCCCATTGCGTCTGCCCTTCTGTCCTCGCTCGCTCGTCCGTTGACCCCGTCTCCATTTTCAGCCGGGTACGCCGTCTCGCTTCGACGCGGTGCGCGCTCTTGATGAGGACGAGAACTGGAGAGAACGCACCGAGGTGATCACCAAGCACGACCACAACCTCAACAAACAGCTGGCCAGGGACATCATCGAGCAGATCGTCGACAGCGCCGCCAGGTGAGAAAACGGAGAACTAAGGCCGGGGAGATAGATACTCGCCATGTGTGGAAGCAAATCTACGCTAACTGTGCGCTGAAATGACTCTGAGTGACGACTGAGATGTATGCTGTTTGTCGTAACGTTGCGGCTCGTGCAACTGCACAGTCGACGAATGTGACTCAGGCTCACTTTGCGTGACGTTTTAACATGACGTGCTTCTGTGTGCGTTACGGCTTCTCGGCAGAGCGGTTGACATTTACCCCGTGGTAGGTTTACCGTGCTGGTTTACTTAGCCGTGCTGTTCTTCCAACCATGCGGCGTCGTTTCTGATGTATGTATGCGTCGGTAATGTAGCCAGTGCGCCAATATGTGGTAGCCAATGTACTGTGCTTTTTTGGTCTGTGCCTTGGATCGCGTGCTTTGGCGTCTGGTCGGATTGTATGTTTATCTGTTCCGCTAGTCCCATTGTCACCTTTACCACACCACCCTTCACCCATCTCGGTAGATCAGACGAGTCGCCGCTGCATCAAGCAGCACTGGGTGTGTTACACCACCCTTATACCCATGTCTCTCGGACAATTCTGACCTCCACCCCGTTTTCAGCACGCCCACCGAGAGCTCGTCTTCCGTGTCGTTCGCCACCGTCTCGTCTAACCCACCGGCTCCGGTGCTGCCCGGCACACTACCGGACGTGGTGCGTGTGGCCGCAGCCTCACCGCGAGACGACACCGACTCCGGCGACTCCTCGGGTGAGTCTGGGACTTTGACTCTGACTCTGACTCTGACTTTGACTCGGTTTTTGGTGAGGGAGAGGGGGAAGGTATGGATGAGGGTGTGGGGATGCAGGTGTTGTGCTGGTGTGGTGAGGTGAAGCAGGAAAACAGTGCAGGAACATTACATGCACGGTCATTACCACTGCCGGCCGGCAGACGAGGACGTTGTCGATCATTTTTGATATGTTGTAGAAGTTGTCTCTGGTCTTAGGACGAGATGCTTCAAGACTGCTGCGCCAATACGCAAAACCCGCGGACCTGTCCACTGCCCAGTGTTTACCCGTGACTCGGGTCTGGGGCAATGGGCATGGTCACTGGTGCAATCCTAAACCCACGGGATGTCCACTCTTATGTCCACGGGAGTTTACTAGGGATGCCATGTATACAACCTTAGCTGACTGAAGGCTTGGGAGCTCATGTCTGGGAATGGGACGGATCGTTTTCACAGTCGTTGGCTAGTGCCACATGACTTGACTCAAGCCCTAAACAGTGACACACATAACATCAGCTGTGACGTGGATCAGTAAACAGCTTCACACTCGGTAGAGTGTAGGCTCAGTCCTCTTGTGTAAACGGTACGGAGATTTACCAGGGTGGCTCCTGAGTTTGGCTTTAGTCATGGTCCGTTTCTGTATGCATATACTGAGTGGTTGCGTCTGACCATGATCTGACTAAAGGGTGGAGTTATTGAGCTGTTTGTCACGAACAGCTAGTGTGAGCTGTGGTAAACGATGGGCCGGGGAATTCACGCTGAGTCAGTGCACAATGCTCAGTCGGGCTGCTTTGTTTAAATGGGCTTTGCATTAACCACGACAGAAAGAAACGGCTAGCACTTCGTTATTGGCCCTTAGTGCTTGTTTTGTCAACTTGTGTCACTTTTCATGCCCTGATACCGACTGGCGAATTCTTACTGCTTACGCTTAGTACCATGACGGAGTTGCTCTTGCTTTTCATCGCGCTCTGTCACTGACTTTGTTACCGTCGTTGACGGCTGAGTGGTGCGTGTGAGCTTTTCATTCATTCTGCTTCAGAGTACGTTTTCTCTGTCTGGCGCACTACACTGTTTCCGCTTTGACTCGTTTTTGTCAATTTTGTGCTATATATGTGGCCAATGATCATTTCCTCGCTTTGATGTAATTCAGCTGATTGCCTTTTTACCACCTGACCGCAACTATAGCCCGCTTACATACCCCAGCAGGTATAAGTGCGGAGCTCAAGTGTCCATTGAAGTCATCAAGTCACGCATCCTCAATTACTGGACAATGGACATCCTCTCCTTCTCCCTCGTCATTTGAGAATTCCATCAGAACGTGTTCAGTGTAGGTAGACATGGTGATGGTGTCTCGGTGACTGAGTGGGCCATCTTTCGGTAGTGCCCGCCATGCCGGCGGGGGTGGCGGCGGCACTGGCGGCGGCCGGGCCCACTGCTATGGCGGCAGTGCCCGCCGGGCGGCCGAGGGCGGGTGAGACGTGTGCTCTGTGTGTTTGTTTGTTGGTCTGTGTGTTTGTTGGTGAGTTTGAAGTGGATAACATACCTATTGGATAGCACGTGACGGCCAGTTTGGAACAGGAGCCGTCACGTTGTTGTGTGGAACTAATCGAGCTGGTTTGGGGTGATGCTCTGTGATACTGACTGGTGTCACACTAGCCTCTTCTGGTTCCCGCGAACTGATGAGACGGTCTCGCGGGAACCTGACCTTCTCTAACCTCTGAAATAATGGCACCTAAGTCCCCACAGACTGATGGGACTGTCTCGGGGGAACCTAACGTGCCACTACGTTGGTGCGTGTCGCGAATCTTGCCGGCACGGTGCATCGGAAAGCCATTTCTGAGCGGTGGTCTCTCGTCTGCACTGTCGACCCTCACTAACGTTTTGTGTGTTGATACTGACTTGTTCTATAATGCTGCTCCCGAGTGTGTGTTGACTGTTGTGCACTGCTAATAACATTCATTAGTCCCACCTGCTTTGTTAAAATAAAAGTCCACACTATCCCCACCCTTACCCTATAACAGAAGTGGACCTCACGGCAATATGCGTCCTGTCTCTATCACGATTCTTCCTTACTGACAGCTCCCTCTGCTATGTCCCAGAGTGCGATTCTTCCTCGCTGACAGCTTCCCCTGTTCTGTCCCAGAGCTAGTGTTCCTCACTGACAGCTCCCCTTGCATGTCCCAGAGTGCGATTCTTCCTCGCTGACAGCTCCCCCTGGCCTACCCGAAGTACGAGTGCTCCTCGCTGACAGCTCCTCTGTCCTGACAGATCCTGTTCTGTCTCATAGTACGAGTGTCTTCTCACTGACAGCTCCCCCTGTTCTTTCCTATTCTGTATCAGAGTACAACTCTGCCCACTGACAATGCTATCTCCCTGTTCTGTCGCAGAGTACGAGTCGGCCTCGGAGCAGGAGGACGCGCCGGCGGCTCCGTCGACGCTGCGCTCGGAGACGTCTCTGCTGGCCGACGAGCTGCTCGGCCTGAGTCTGCAGACCCCACTCAAACCGGGCGCACCGCCGCGTCCCCAGTCTTCCTCCGAGCAGAAGCCGCAGCAGCAGTGGACGTTAGACGACCTGCCGCCGCCGTCCCCGCTGCAGGAGCTGATTGCCGAGACTGACGCGCTGCAGGTGTCCTCTGCGGCGCCCCGGTCGGGTGAGACAGGGGAGCGCGCCGCGCCGGTGGTAGAGACAGAGGAGGCTGCGGCTGAGGGAGCGACGGGAGAGAAGGGAGAGAGTGAAACGGAACCTCCAGCTCTTCCGGAGCCGGCTGTTGTGACAGAAGAGTGCACTCCGAGCACAGAAGAGCACACTCCGAGCACGGAAGAGTGTATTCCGGCTCCGGTAGAGCCCTCTGTGGCCCAGGAGACGCTCCCCGCTCCAGAGGAGCCAGCGCCGGTCGCTGAGGAACCGACCCCCGCTGTTGCACCGACCCCGGCTGTTGAGTCGGTCACCGTTCAGGAGGAACCCGCTCCCACTCCACAGGAGGAGCCTGCTGCTACTGACGCCGAACAGCCGCCGGCACAGCCCGAGTGCGACGCAGAGCCTGCCTCGACTGAGGTCAGAGCTGACTCACCACCGATCAGGGCTGCTTCTCCGCCGATCAGGGCTGCTTCTCCACCAATCAGGGCTGCTTCTCCACCAATCAGAAGTGCTTCTCCACCAATCAGAAGCGCTTCTCCGCCCATTAAAGCTACTACTCCACCAACAAGGAGCGACTCGCCACCCATCAGAAGTGCTTCCCCGCCTATCAGAGCCGCTTCTCCGCCAATAAGGAGCGCCTCTCCACCTATCCGCTCGGGCTCGCCGCCTATCCGCTCGGCCTCTCCGCCCATCCGCTCGGGCTCTCCCCCCATCCGCTCGGGCTCTCCGCCTATCCGCTCGGGCTCGCCGCCTATCCGCGCGGGCTCGCCGCCTATCCGCTCGGGCTCACCGCCTATCCGCTCGGGCTCGCCGCCGATCCGGCCGGCCGGCGCCATGACTCAGACCGGTGATGAGGACGAGCCAATTCCGCCCAAGGTCGGATACAACCTGGACTTCCTCGACGACCCCAACTTCAACCCGTTCACTACCGGCTCGGGCATCAAGCTCAGCCCGCCGCCGTCACCCAAGGCGAGCCTGCCGCCGCTGAAGGCTGCCAAGACCAAGAAGCAGCGCGAGGCGGCGCCGGCTGACCCGGCTCCTGCGGAGACCAATGGTGTGGGCAGCTCAGACGGGGGCTCGGCAGAGCCTGCCAACGCTCCGGAACAGACTGAGGAGCCGGTCAAACCGCCCGCCAAGAAACCCGTGGTGAAGAAGCCGGTGCGGCCGGTGAGGAGACCTCTAAAGAAGAAGGTGGTGGAGCCGCCCCCGGAGCCGACTCCGGCTCCGTCCGAGGAGAACGGCCGAGCGGACAGTCCGCCGCTGGCGCCGCCCTCAAAGGGCTACAACCTCGACTTCCTGGATAATTGCGACGACCCCAACTTCAACCCGTTCGCCACAAAGTCGGCGGTGGCTAACTCTCCCACCGGCTCGCCGACCGCCGCCAGAAAGGTGGCCAACTCCCCGCCGCTGCCTGCCCGATCGGCGGCCAAACAGTCGCCGGTCAAACCGGCCGCCAAGGCCGCTCCGCCGCCCGAACCGGAGCCGGAGCCGGAGGAGCCTGAGCCGCAGCCGGAGCCCGCAGAGGAGCCTCAGCCTGAGGAGGCCGCAGAGGAGCCTGCCGCGGAGCCGGAGGAACCAATGGATGTGAAGACGGAGCGACCAGATCCGTTGGGTGGTGGGGACGCGTCTACTTCAGTCCGCTCTGAGGCCAGCCGAACAGCACTGCTGGACACAGGTCAGTGGCAGACTGCGTGGGACGTGGAGTGGTAGGGCTAGTTGGGAGGGAGGCCAGACGAAACTGGTCCGTCGTGGGGATACTGGACTGGTGGGGCTGTTCACTGTTCAGGGATATAGAGTCTGGCTTGGTCAGTGAAAATGGAAAGGTTGGACTGGTGTGGCCAGTCCGTGAGAGTGAGAGCGCTACTAGTGGGCACTATGATTACGGAGCGAGCGAAGCGAGCGGAGTCTTACGTAGAATAACGGAAATTTCTGAGTATGAGCGGCCGGCCGGCCGGCCGGCCGTGGTCACGCTTTTACGAGGCTTATATCTCAGCAACCACTTGACCGATTTACATGCGGTAATTTTTGCGGGGTAGCTTCATTCCTTCTACCGAGTATTGGACTATTCCCGATGCATGTGGGTGACCCCTTATGCACGTGCCACGTGCAAAACGAAGAGGTGTCACTTTTGTAATTGTTGCAATATCTCGGTAACTACTTGGCCGATTGCGCTGAAAGTTGGCATGTAGGTAGGCACCCACTAGGCACTGCATATCCATGTGCCAGAGTTGGGGTGCTGCTGCACGTGCGCACGTGCAGGGGGCGTTTCCAGATCTCGAGAACGGCTCGACCGATGGCGCTCAAATTTGGTACATGGTTAGGGACCGGTTAGTAGGGTGCCGTGCAAAAGTCAGTTGGGACCCATTTTGCACGTGCGCACGTGCAGGGTGCCGCTTCCAGATCTCGAGAACGGCTGGGCCGATTGTGCTCAAATTTGGCACATCGCTAGAGACCGGTTAGTAGGGTGCCGTGCACAAGTCAGCTGGAGGTACCCCCTCGAAATTTCGCACGTGCAAGGCTCACCCTCTCGCTCGCTCCGTTAGTCGCCCCAAAAGGCGCTATACTGGTAATAGTATCGAACTGATTATATGTGTCCAATATATGTCCTGGTCGGAATTTCATGTAATAACTACGGATATGCGTAGCCCCCTCCCCTCAATTAACTTCGTGTATTCTCCCTCCATTGCTGCACCGATCCATGTTCTCTGTTTTGTATTCTTTCATAACAACGTGCCAATTTCTCTAACGTATCGCTGTCCTCCACCGCAGCGCCTCTGGACTTTGGTGAAGTAACTGGTAGTACCATCAACGACCAAGAGATGGCGTCGGCTACCAACGACCAGTTTGTGGAGGCCACCAACTGTGAGTACGGCCGGTAGGCGCGCGCGCGCTAGGTGCCATTCTTGTCACGTACTGATTTTATGTCGAGGCCAGTTACGAAATCACCAGTGTCCTCTCGGGCTGATTGAGTGGTGTATTTTGGCGGGCGTTTTAACGAACTGCCTCGTAGACATCCCGCTACTAAACCTGGAAGATGTGTGGGTCGGCGGTTTTTCGCCCAGGTGATGGTTGTGGCTCTGTTGAATATATTATGGTGGTAGCCGTTAAGCTGAATTCAAACCCGCATTCCAACGGCTTGTTTCCCAATTTAGCAGCAGGACACCGCCGGCCGGGCTCGCCCTGGACTTCCCGGGTGTGAAACTAAGGCAGCTGTGTGTGATGGGCCATTAGACTTGCGCCACCAGCCAGTAATAGGTCCAGTCTAGCTGGATATTGGAGATGGATGGAGTGGCGGGCAGCTGCCCCGGGAGACGGGCCACCCTGACCCCCATGTCGTGGTCATTTCACCCCTGGTGCCCCCGCGGGGATTGGGGCACCTCTCCGTATCCCCTGCATTCCTGATTTTGAGTTCCGTGCGTGACTGAAGAACAGAGATCCGCGCGCCCCGCCTGGACTCGTCTCACCCAGTCGGGACCCGTTTTTAGCCCTGTCCCCGGCCCTCGCTCGTTGACGTTACTCTGACCTTCGCCCCGCCCGGTCCGGCCCGGACCGACGTCAGCTGTATGGTCGGAATGGACCGCGGCCTGCGGACCCCACAGCCTCTGTGCGTCCCGAACGTCCCGAGCGCGGTCAGATCCTCACTCGATGTCCTCAGAGTGAATATGTAACAACACGCTGCGCCGAGAGCGTTATGATGCCCAACATGACTGCACGATCTCGTATCTTGCAGCACAATGGTGATCTCAAGGCCGCGCGTATGGAATGGCGTCTTGGTAGCTCTGTGCACTATCGCATTTTGCATCATGGCGCTGTGCATTCTAAGTGAAACTCCGACGTATTTTATGCAGTCTGACAGGCAAAATGCAAGACATGTAGACATGCCGGTAGGAGCCGGATCTCGAGTTTCGGATAGCAAGGAGCACCTTGGTAGATTGCAGTTAACATGTCTTGCACTGTTGCATTTACCTGGTCCGCACGCATCAATATTAAGAGCGCTTTGCAAGCGGAGCCTGCGTACGCCGATTTCTTTTGTGATTTTCTAGGCTAGTTACTTGATATTCGTATTGTGTAAGGCTCTGTCCCTCAATACGAGTCTACTGTTGACTTGCGCAATGCACATACTGCTGACTGCACAAATGCACGTGCATCGGCTGCTCGACACCACCTTAAATCGTCTCTTTGACACTACTTTGATCGCTCCGTAACGCCCAACTCTTTTCGGCAGTTTTCCAAGACCCGTCGGCGCTGGACCGTCTGGCAGAGCACAGGGACGGACGGCTGGCTCCCAACATCGCGCGGAACTCGCTCTACGTCAAGTTTGACCCCTTGCTCGGCCGGCCGAGCGTTCTGCCCGAGATCCAGCGTCTCACAGAACGGTGAGTACCCGTGTGGGTCTCAGATACTGTGGGTGGTTTCAGTGACTGAGTGGGAAAGGGGCTTTCTAGATGACTAAGGTGTGAGGTAGCAGGTGAACGGGATGGAAGCTGTGTGCTGGTGCTGTGAAGGAGAGCTGTTTTGAGGACTCTTGCACCAAAATGCTCTGATTGCACCAATATATGGATTCTGCTGCACCGTACAGACACTCCAAGACTCTAGCGTGACAATTTACCTATAAATTCTACCAAGCGCCTGTAGTTTTACGTTATGAGTTTGTGGAAAAAAAGAGAACCACCGTCCAGGCTAGCTAACTCTGCAATCGGTTTTTCGATTCTACCTAGCAAGGTATTTTGGTGCAAGAGGCCTCATGTCGTTTTTGTGCTGGCTTAGCACTGGACGACGTGAGTATTCGTAGTTATACGGTAGCTGAAACAGTGTGTTCTTGGACTGTTTGCACGCCCATTGTCTAGTGTCTATACACAATGTGAGAGTTTTAGACAAGAAACACCTTTCGAGCACCTGTACGTGACTGTCCTAACGTCTGACTAACAAAGCTACTGTGACGAACCGTCCTGCTGAGCTGCTGTATTAGAAAGGACCATGTCACTGACCGGCGGGGCCTGTGGCCAGTTTTCCTCCCCACTGCGGGTTCCAACGGACGGTGACAGCATTGATGACGTTTCATTGGAGTATGGCGTCAGACACGCGACTCCATTCAGAGCTTTATGTAGTGTATATTACGACTACCTGTACGCGGAGGATATTGACAGTTCAGTCTACGTTAAGAATTCTCGTCGTAACCGCTTTTTGAATGTTTGTCCGGTCAGCTGTTACACCCTCCATTGTGCACTCCTTTCTTCCGGTGCTAAGTCGGTATTCTTGTTTTATACACGCGTGAGATCGAGCTGATAATTCAGAGCTGGAGCCTAGTTGAAGTGTGGGTGTTTAGATGAGGAGATAGAAAACTGGGCTGCTTATATCATACACGGCCTCCGGTTGGGCTGCTGACGTCCACTGTCTGTCGAAGGCTGAACTCAAATCAACCTAGTTAATGTTCAGTCATTGGTGGCTGCCTTGGGAATTAATGGTATGCCGAAGCCGTGCAATGCATAGTCATGGCGCTATACATATGTCGATGCTCACGCCCGCCTCTGGGCATGACGTCAGTTGCAAAGATTTCACTGCCCTGGCGACTCGGACCCCTGGCAATGGGCCGGGAGCCGTGGGGAACATTCCGTCATGCGAGGCGTCTCCATTTTAGGGGAGCCGGCTGTGCAGCGGACCCCCATTGGCCGGCGCCTCTGATGGAACACAGGCGGGCCGGGCGCGCATGCGATGCCGGTGCCCTGTCTAAGGCCGGCGCTTTCAGGACGCTGAATGGCAAAACTGGTTTACAGGCAGATCCTCGGGTAAGATAAAGCGCACCGATTAAGCTGCAATGTGCCGTGAAAAAGCCACGTGGGCGTATTGGATATGATACTGGTTCGGCGTGACGCTCGCCCAGCGACGTCTTTGTTGAGGCGCTCGCTGGCCGTGTGCGGGTTTCGATGGGCGTGCGCGGGCTGTCAGCTCACTTCCTATCGGGCGATCGCTCTAAGCCGCCGCTGCAGCCGTCCGCTCGCGGCAGACTCTGCGTGGGATTAACCTTGCTCTCGCTCGCCGGAGCGCGGTGGCTCTGTGGCAGTGGGTCGGTTTTCAGGTTCAGCAAGGTCGGCAGACGGGTCGGAGCGGGTCGGCCGACATCTGGGGCCTACGTCTGGGTGTGTGGGTCGGACCCGCCCTGTGCACTGGGTGTGTCGGTCAGTGGACTAATTACATCGTGTCGGCGCTGTCCGCCCTGTTCAAGCTGTCCGAGCTGTCCGCCCTGTCTGCCCTGTCTGCACTGTCGTGTTCTAGCCCTAATCTGTCCTGGCTAATCATAACCGACCTGTCTTGGACTGTGTCTGCATTTTTCCTCTGTACTGACTATCCTGCCCTGTTCTATTCTGTCTTGTCCTGTTCCTAGCAGTGCCCTGCTGTTTCATCTTAACCCTCCCTGCCGGGGCTGTCGATTCCCGGTAGTCTCCGTCGCCCCCGTTCACTGACACCTTACAGACTGGACCGGACCCGGTGACACGTAGCAGGGTGGGGCCGACCTGACGAGCCGAATGACCACTCAACACCCGGCGACCCAACCGGTGGACAAACTCGGCCGTTGGACTGTAACGGCTCCACCCTCCAAACTCGCCCAATGTGGCCCGTTGATTCAGCCGGGTGAGCCGCCACTTTCGTCACCCGGTCTTTGTCTTTGGGCGTCCCCGGTCGTGAATGGAGCATAGCCGGGCATTGATTAAACGATTTCACTGCGCCGGTCGCGGCGTCTGCTAGAAACGGACGTCGTGGTTCGCGGAGCGGTGCCGGGGGTAGACCGAAACCCGCGCTGTTCTCCGACCCAGCTGTAATTCGCCACACTCTCCAATTTGATGTGGCTGTCTGTACCCGAGTCACGTGCACACTGAGGGCGGCGGCAGAAGGCCGGTATTGGTGACCCTCGGGGCGCTGCTCCGCTCGGCACGGTGACTGCAACTGCGGGTGCCCCGATCGGCTGCTGATCGGGGGCGGGCCGATCGTGCCCCGGGCGGTCGCCGACCTGCCCCGGATGGCAGCCGGCCAGGCGCCGCTCGGGCCGCAGTGGGCGGCGGAATTGACACTGGGTCAGACCAGAGCTCCGGGCGGACATGCCGTCAAGGACAGACTGCGAGTCCGTCACCGACGGGTCCCCACCGGCTGAGAAGGGAGCTCCGGGCTCTCAGAAGGCCGGCAGATTGCAGTCAGAGCTATGGAGATCAGCTCTTCCAGCTGTGGTTGGCTCTGTCGTTCTGCGGGGTTAACGAGCGAAAGGACACGGCTCCAACTGCTGAGAGTGGTAATTAAGCGGCGAAACGAGCTCCGCGTGAGGTCAACCAGCTTACAGTGCAGTCAGAGCCGGCTCAGCCCATGTGATTTGCCTGGCGGTTCTGCCGCAGTTGACGTGGTGCTTGATGATAGTGGGTCCTCTGAGCGCATTACTGCTTCCAGGGACACATGAAATATGTGTCAAAGTCTGGTGAGCCTCGTGGGATCGCCGCTCAGCTGACCCACGTGTTGTGCTGACGTAGTGACTTCGGAACTACTGTGGCGGCAGGCGTCAATGGGCATTGTGAACGGCGGAAGAATGGCCGGTGCAGAGGCAGCGTGTTTGCAGGTGTGGGGCCGACCGGAGCCCTCTGCCTGCCGGCCTCGGCGGCTCTGTGTGCCCAATGCTCCCACCGTGGGCGGTCGGAGCGCCGCACGAGCTACAGATCAGCCCCCGGCCGGTCAGCAGACTGTACTCGGCTGCCGCTGACAGCTCAGCACGACGTCAGGGACGGCTCCCTCCCCTCCCCGTCGATCACACCACCTCACCACCCCTGGGCGGCCAGCAGGGCTTCCCAGACGGGATGCAAAGCAGCGCGCCGCCGCCGGCCTGCCCTCTCCTGGGCCCCGGCGGCGCACGGCGAATAAATCATTGACGGCACGTCAGCGAGCAGCCAGAGCCGCTGCCATTAACATGGAAAGTGCATCGAAAGTGGCCGACCGGTTCTGGGAGCCGCGCGGCGTGCAGGAGCCGGCCGGCGCAGGGGCTCGCGCGGCTGCGGCTGAGCGGTGAGCTCCGAGCCGCCGAGGAGCGTCAGGTGTGTTTGTTGGGATAAAACTCGGGCCGGCCGGCCGCGGTGGGCGACATGTGGCGTCTATCCGTGGTGGGCGGGAGACGCTCGTGTCACGAGGGCCGCTAGATTGGCCCGCCTCCCGCCGGCTGGAAGAGATGGACGGTCGGAAAACGGGGCGGCACGCACACGGACTCTGCGGGGGATGCCGGGCGCGCCCTCAGAGCTAGGAGGCGCACCTGGGAGGAGGGCGGCGCGCCAGCCGGCGGCGGCTGGTCGGAGTGAGCTGCGACTGCCCCTGGGCACACACCTAGCCTTAAATACTGTCCTGCCATCATCCCCGCGTGGCTCAGCATCCTCAGACAGGCGGTAGATCCAATGCTGGTGCCGGCAGTGTATCTATCTCGACACCGAAGGCCGCGACTGACGGGTAGCGGCAGATGCCGACCGGTCGGCCGGGCGATACACCCCAATTAGTGCAAACGGACCGCTCCGGTGCCGTTACCACGCCGGGCTGTTGTTGGGGCGCGGTCTGGAGCGGACGGACGGGACGAGTCGGGTCGGGCCGGCTGTCTGCACAGAGATCGCTGTAAATCGCTGCACGGAGGCCCCGGCCGGCCAGTTTCACCAGGCGGTACGGGTGTATCGGGCGCACGTGATGGAGGGAGCACGTGAGTGCGCTGAGCGCACTGGGGCCGCGCTGTCCGTCATGAGCAGGCCGGGGCGCCGCGCGGGTCCGACTGGCAGAATGTGTGTCGCCGCCGTATATGGTGTCGGCAAACCTTGAAAAGTGCCGGCGCCAGTCTCGGATTAGATGAATGAGAGGCGCGCTCGGCAGCGGGCCTCTGCACTGGCTGACGTATTATGGTGATGGAGCGCCGCCTCTGTATGACGCATGGCTCATGTCTCCCTGGGACTGACTGGCTGCCGTCAGCGGTACACGAGATGGATTCGGCCGGTGTTGTTGCATCACCTGTCCTCGCGACACCGAGTGACTGAGATCCCGAGGCCGGCTGAGGCTGGCTCTGACGCCCACAGAGCCTCAGCCAGTGACAGTTTGTCGAAGGGTTTTTGCTCAGCTGTGAACACGCCAGGTGACATGGGCGCGGGGGAAGAAAGGGGCGCCACCCAGGTGTGTGCATGTGCGACCCGACACGCCCCTTCTCTCCGACCGCGGAACGTCGGAAGTCGACATTGAAGCCGTTTCTCTCATGCGCTGACCTTGCCCTTTTCTTCCTTCCTGTCCGGGTCCGATCAGCCGCGCGCCATTGTCAATCCCATCTCGGAGTATTTGTACCGATCCGACCTCAGAGTGGTTCGTCTGCGGTCGGACG